TCAGAATGATCTTGACAGAATGAAGATAATTCCAATTGTATCACACCTCTGTGCAAAACCTGCCAGTGTTCTGCACAGCAAACATTGTGAATGAATGTTCTGACTCACAAATCAGTGTGAAATATTGTCAAACATGAAACAACAGAGTGAAAAGGCAGCCTACAGAAAGGAAAATATATTTTTGCCCTAATAATATATTAACCCCCTAAAATATCCAGAATATGCAAAGAACTCCTACAACATAACAATAAAAAACAAATAATCTAATTTAAAAATGGGCAAAGGACTTAAATGGACATTTCTCTAAAGAAGATATACACATGGCCAACAAACATTGAAAAGATGCTCTACATCATGAATCATCACATACCCATATTCATTGCAGCATTATTCACAATTACCAAGAGGTGGAAACAACTAAATGTCAGTTGACAGATGAGTGGATAAAGAAAAGTTTGTATATTCAAAAAATGGAATCTTATTCAGCCTTAAAAAAGAAGGAAATCCTATCATATGCTATAACATCGCTGAACCTTAGGGATATGATGCTAAGTGAAATAAGCCAAAAAGACAAAATTCTGCATGATTTCAATTATATGAAGTATCTGAAGTAGTCAAACTCTTAGAAACAGAAAGTAGAAAGGTGGTTGCCAGGAGCTGGGGAGAGTGGCAAAAGGGAGTTGTTTATAATGGATATGGAGCTTCATTTTTTGCGAGATGAAAATGTTCTAGAGCTCTGTTGTACAACAATGTGAATATAGTTAACACGATTGTGCTGTACATGTAAAAATGGTTAATATGGTGAATTTTGTATTGTGTGTTCTTTAGTGCAATAAAACAAAAACCAAATCCCTCCTGTGGTTCCTACTGCACTTAGAATAAGATCCCCAACTTCTTACCCTAGCTGCCAAAGCTGTTTATGATCTTGTTTTGCCAGAATCGCTAAACCTCATCTTGTGCCATTCTTCCCTTGTCTGTTATTGTCCAGCCACAGTTGCTTTCTTTCTATTCCTTACACTCACCAAACTTTTCCCCTGCCTTTGGAATGTTTTTCCCGCTGACTTTTACCAGGCTGGCTGCATCTTGTTTTTTCAGATCTTGACTTAATATTACTTCCTCATGAAGCCTTTTTGTGACTACCTAGTCTCTAGTTGCCACCAATCACTAGCTATATCATGTCACTGTACTTAAATTTCTAGGCTGGGTGTGGTGGCTCACGCCTGTAATCCCAGCACTTTGGGAGGCTGAGGCAGGTGGATCACGAGGTCAAGAGATGGAGACCATCCTGGCCAACATGGTGAAACCCCATCTCTACTAAAAATACAAAAAATTAGCTGGGTGTGGTGGCGTGAGCCTGTAGTCCTAGCTACTTGGGAAGTTGAGGCAGGAGAATTGCTTGAATCTGGGAGGTGGAGGTTGCAGTGCGCCAAGATCATGCCACTGTACTCCAGCCTGGCGTCAGAGCGAGACTCAGTCTCTAAAACAAACAAACAAAATTCTGCATAGCACTTCTCACTATCTGATATTTTTCTTATTTATATTTGTTTACTGTCTGATTCCCCTATATAATAATTTTATAAGTTTTTTATATTTTAGAATTTAAAGTTTTTAAACTTTAAAAGAATGTTATGAGAAAGCAGGGACCTTGTCTGTTTTGTTCATCACCGTATCCCAAGCACCTAGAATAGGTGCCTGGCATATATGCCTGGCATATAGTAGGTGCTCAATAAATATTTGCTGAATGAAAACTGAGCTTCCTATTCTTAAATGATCATTTCTTGAAAAGGACTACTCTTCTCCCCAAGCTCCAGACCTGTCTTTTTGAATTACTTCTTGGGTATTTCTGTCTAAATATTCTACAGATACCTCAAATTCAACATGCCCCTTTCTGCTCAGTTACTCTTGCAGACCTTATTTTTTCTCTGTTAATGGCATCATCATTAGCCTGATTGATCAGGCCAGAGGTCCTCTTTGATTCCTTTCTTTCTCTCAACTCCCACTATCTATCAGATCCTGTCAGTATCTTATCTCACATCTTTCCCTTTTCTTCCACACAGTTGCCACCACAACATTTTAGGCCTAATTACTTTTTACTTGGATCATTGTAAGAAACTGCCTGACTGGGCTTTTTGCTTCCAATCCCGCACACTTTTCCAGACTGTACTATCTTCTATTCATCATGCTACTTTTCTATTCAAAACTAACAGATGAAATGTCATTTTTTTTATGCCTTAGAAAGCCATGGAAACCTTTATCCTCAGCCTCCTTTAGACCCCAGTTACCTTTCCAGCCTCACCATTCAAGATACCCCTGCAGCTCTGTGCTCCTGCCCTCATTCTGTGGCCTTGTCAGCCTCATAACTGGTGGTCAGTATACACCAGCAGCCTCCACCTTTACAAAGCCATTTCCCCTGACTACAGTGCTCCTGAACCCCCACATCTCTTTGGCTGACTCATAGTTTTGTCTTTAAGATCTAACTAAAAAACTGCCTCCCCAAGAAGCCTTTATAGATCTTCCCTCAACTCCAAAATTGAAATTAGTGGCATAGACCCATAATATCTCTATTATTAATATCATTTTTTTTTCTTTTTTTCTTTTTTTTCCAAGATAGGATCTTACTTTGTTACCCAGATTGGAGTGCAGTGGTGCAATCTTGGCTCACTGCAGCCTTGACCTCCTGAGCTTAACCGATCCTCGCACCTCAACCTCCTGAGTAGCTGTGATGACAGGCATGTGCCACCATGCCCAGCTAATTTTTTTGTATTTTTTGTAGAGATGGGGTTTTGCTGTGTTGCCTAGGCTGGTCTCGACCTCTGAGCTCAAGAAATCTGCCCAGCCTCCCAAAATATTTATTGAGCACCTACTATATGCTAGGCACTATTTTAGGTACTGCCCTCAGCCTCTCAAAGTGTTAAGATTACAGGCATGAGCCACCTCGCCCAGCCTATTATCATTTTTTAAATTGTGGTAAAGTACACATAATATAAAATTTACCATTGTAACTATTTTTAAGGGTACAATTCCCTGTCATTAAGTGCATTTACATTGCTATACAACATTCACCACTCTCCTCTACTGTCATATTTAATTATTTATGGATGTGGTTGTCCCCTCCTCTGATTAGAAACAAACACTTGGCATTATTTGTAAGTGCTGAATTAACATGGATGAACATGAATATAATCAGATCATCTCCTGAGATGAGGTGTCACGTCACCAGCATCCTTGTGATCCTGCTTGGTTAACTTGAGGATTGTGTTCAGTTTTCTTCTTTGTACTTACTCAAAATGGCATTGGTTAGAGTTCATGGAGTCCTGGATTTTTAAAGGTTCTTTGCCCAATTTCTTCTTTAGAAGTTTTTGATGCTTTACACTTAACCTAACTTTTTTGTCTTACCGGTATCTATCCTATAAATATGCCAGTGAAATGGAGCATATTGCGTTAGGTAAGGTGTGCATATTTCAAGAACTAGATGTGTTTCAAAGCACATAATAAAACTTCAGCAAAAATGAGGTTAAGCGTTTAGGCTCCAATAATATTGCTACGATTTTATTTCTGTCAAAGTTTTGTTATTTTTGCTATATTGTTTGCTTTTCTTCAATGTTTTATAAGCCCCTGTTCTGTGATGAACTCCTAATAAGCTGTGCTTAAAACTATGACATTGACCTTTCTCCAGAACCAGGTTTCAGAATTGTCTGTTTTTCACATTCTCTCCCTGCCTTTTCTCTTATAATCAAATCAGCATGTTTTTGTTTTTGTTTTGGAGACGGAGTCTCACTCTGTTGTCCAGGCTGGAGTGCAGTGGCACTATCTCTGCTAATTGCAACCTCTGCCTCCTGGGTTCAAGCAATTCTTCTGCCTCAGCCTCCCCAGTAGCTGGGACTACAGGCGTGTGCCACCACACCCAGCTAATTTTTTGTATTTTTAGTAGAGACAGGATTTCACCATGTTGCCCAGGCTAGTCTCAAACTCCTGAACTCAGGCAATCTGCCCTTCTCCACCTCACAAAGTGCTAGGATTACAGGCATGGGCCATTGTGCCCGGCCCAAATCAGCATGTGTTTTTAAACATCATAGAATGCGAGGGTTGGAAGGGTCTTTTGTGATCAGCTAACATTCACTTTGTATATAAATAAATAAATAAATAAATAAATAAATAAATACCCATGTTAATGCCAAAGGGTTCTCATCCAGTAAGTGGCAGAAGAATCTATGATGGAAGCATATCTTTTGGTGCTGTCAGTGAAAGGGAAGTTATTCTCCCTCCTGATCTGAAGGGTCCTATGTGACATCATCTGAGAGGCACTGGGGGTTGAGGAAAGATGACCCTTAAAATCTGCATTTGCGCTTTGCAAGAGCAAGGCAAGATCACAGAGAAGTTACACATGCTCCTTTCTTCACTTTTTAGTCTTTATCCGCTAAAAACAAGATGTGAGAAAATCAAGTGACAAGAATGATAGGGTAATAGGCTGTCAACAAAATGAGTGTGTGGGCTTATATAGGTATAAATGTGGTGAAGGTCATAGACCATGGATGCTTATTCCCTTTTAAGTTCCACCTTCCATTTAACACATTTTGAAAGAATTTATTGTGTCTTATTTTCCCCTTTGTGCCCCACTTTTCGTATCTGTAAAATGGATGAAATAGTAGTATCTGAAATAGTACATACAATTGCTGTAAAGATTAAATGCTAATACACATAAAGCTCTTAGAACAGGTCTGGTGTATAATAAACACTCAAAGCTATTATCGTTATTGTTACTGGTATTAACTGATATCTTTGTACTTTTCATAACTGCTCATTCTATTAATTAAATGTATTTTTCACTATATGTTCTTTTTCAATGTATATTCCTTTTAACCTTCCTTCTTAGCCTCCACTATAGTTCAGATGCCTTCTACAATTTCAAACAATTTAATGAAAAGAAAAGAAAATTTATACATGCAGAGTTGGCTGATTTAATTTCTTCAGTCTTTTGGAGGGTATAATTATTTTCCTTCTGAGAGTAAACTTATTTTTTCCATGTTACAGGTGGTATGCAAGATTACAATTATGTGTGGGCCAACTGTTTTGAGATCACATTAGAACTGTCTTGTTGCAAGTACCCACCTGCTTCACAGCTTCGACAGGAATGGGAGAACAATCGTGAGTCTTTGATCACATTGATTGAAAAGGTAAAAGTAGATGACTGAAAGGTTGGGGTATAGAAACAGGATTAAATAAGAGAGAAATCTGGATGCATGTGAATGACAATCTATACAGTATTAGATGTCCTTTATCTGTTTTTACTACTTAAGATTATAAATTATCTTTAAAGATTATTAGGTTACAATCTATTAAAACATATTCTAGTTCTGCTTCCCCTGCCCCTTACCCCCAGCTGTCTGCTCCATAGGGCTTCCTTTGCCTGTCTTGGAACACTTACTTATACAAACTGAAATAATTAGCCAAATTTGTACTTTCAGGTTCTTACAATGTCACGTGATCGTATTTGCTAGTGAGCCTTTACCACTATATGAACCATGGACATCAGTTTAATTTAAACATCACACAGACTAATACAGCAATTGGATATACCAGCAATTACACCCTGTTGAGAAAACTAGAAGTCTGGCTTTGAGGAGAGGGAATTTTAAAAGCACCGTACTAGTGTCGAGTTCAGACACATGGCTTAAGTTTAAGGATTTACTACTTCTGTCTGTATTTTATTTAAACTTCAAGGGATTGAAAATGTTTTGGGGGAGAGAGAAGAGTCACTTTATTTTTTAGAAATTCTACTATCAGTGCAGAGAAAAGTTGTGCCCTCTTGCGTTCTAAATTCATGGTCTCTGAACTTGGATTCTTGTCTTCTTAGGTTCACATTGGAGTAAAAGGATTTGTTAAAGATTCCATAACAGGATCTGGTTTAGAGAATGCAACCATCTCAGTGGCTGGTATTAATCATAATATCACGACAGGCAGATTTGGTGATTTCTACCGATTACTTGTTCCTGGAACTTATAACCTTACAGTAGTTTTAACTGGGTAAGAATTTAAACTATGTAGACTCTTAGTTAAAATGTCAAGTCTCTGTTTAATATCTAAGACAGAAATATAGTCTAGTACATGTTGTTTATTTTTGTGGCTTTTATTTTTCCGTATTTTCTGATTTTTCTCCTTTTGTAATAAGAAAATACTATTGTGGAGTTTTTTGTCACATAGTCTAATGGTACAATGGGATATGAAGCATAGTTGTAGCAATAGAGGAAGGACAGTTTTTAAAACGTGAAAAGATATTCAGTTGTGTAAAGCATTGCCTTAAAGCTAACTGAATACCAGAGTAGAAGAAACCCAGTGCTCTGTAAATGACACTTTTGAAGAACTGTCTTAACAGCTTTCTAATTTATTAAATGAGTGGTTTCGCCGGGCGCGGTGGCTCAAGCCTGTAATCCCAGCACTTTGGGAGGCTGAGACGGGCGGATCATGAGGTCAGGAGATCGAGACCATCCTGGCTAACACGGTGAAACCCCGTGTCTACTAAAAAATACAAAAAACTAGACGGGCGAGGTGGTGGGCGCCTGTAGTCCCAGCTACTCGGGAGGCTGAGGCAGGAGAATGGCGTAAACCCGGGAGGTGGAGCTTGCAGTGAGCTGAGATCCGGCCACTGCACTCCAGCTTGGGCGACAGCACGAGACTCCGTCTCAAAAAAAAATAAATAAAAATAAATAAATAAATAAATAAATAAATAAATAAATAAATAAATGAGTGGTTTCCCACCTCCCCTGGAAAGCTTTCTGGAAGCTCACTTTGATAAGGATTTAATTGATAACCTTTAATCTTGAACTTTCCTGCTTGAAAAAGAAGTTGGAATGTCAGTTTGATAAGACACTGCAAAGAATTGTATAATTTATCCCTTGTTTGAGTACTGTAGCAGCGGTTACAATGGAGTAACAGCCGCATCTTTCAACATGTTCTTTCCTTTGAATGTAATTTTTTTGGTATACATTCTAGTGTGTGGTACTTGAGAAGATTTGGTAAGAGAAATAGTTGTTTAATCTGGGGTTCTTTGTGAAATAATGTCCTAAAACTCTTAAATTTACACATCTCTATTTAGTTTGAGTTTTGATAGATTGCTAAGCATAAGAGGATGAAAAGGCTTCTGTGCTTTTATAATGTTAAAGCATTGTATGTCTTAACTATAAACCGTTTACTTTTCCAATTTTTTTTCTCAGGTATATGCCATTGACTGTTACTAATATAGTGGTGAAAGAAGGACCAGCCACAGAGGTGGATTTGTCTCTTAGGCCAACTGTAACTTCAGTAATCCCTGACACAACAGAGGCTGTAGCAACTGCTAGCACAGTTGCTATACCTAATATTCTTTCTGGAACATCATCCTCCTACCAGCCAATTCAGCCGAAGGACTTTCACCACCACCATTTCCCTGATATGGAAATCTTCTTGAGAAGGTTTGCCAATGAATATCCTAACATTACCCGGCTTTATTCATTGGGAAAATCAGTGGAGTCAAGAGAACTTTATGTGATGGAGATATCTGATAATCCAGGTGTCCATGAACCAGGTAACTGGTATGGTCTTACACATAATTTCAGTAGTGCCCCTCAAAGCCATGTTCAATATTGCTATGTTTCATCCAGAAAGGTCGCCTACAGTTTGTATAACTGGCATTAAGAAAACCTAACTAAAATTAAAAGAAAGCAAAAAAAAAAAATGTAACTAATCTTTTCCCGTAAAAGAGGAAATCCTTTTGCTAACCCATATTAGGCATGGTATTTAATATGTGCATAGATTAGATTTATTCTGCTAATAGTGTTTTATTTATTTATATTACATGGCATATATATACTTTGAGCCTGCTCAGACATATGTATTAGTAAGGAAACTGCTTTATAAGATGTTTCTGAAGGTTTTTTCTGCCTCCTTTGCCAAAATACATGTTTAAAAAAATTTTAGTACAGGATTTATATATGTTGGGGAAAAAAACAGAGTCCATGATGATTAAAAACGAAAAAAAGCCTTCCATGTAATTACTTTGTTTTCAGGTGAACCAGAATTTAAGTACATTGGAAATATGCATGGAAATGAAGTGGTTGGAAGAGAACTGCTGTTGAACCTTATCGAATACCTTTGTAAGAACTTTGGAACAGACCCTGAAGTCACAGATTTGGTTCATAGCACTAGAATTCACCTTATGCCATCCATGAATCCTGATGGATATGAAAAGTCCCAGGAAGGTAAAGAATAGCTATTAATTCTTAATCATTTTGATCATCATATAGAATGATTATTTTGATGTAGAACAGAATTTGAACTGGTTCTTTCGGAATTTCTTCCTATTTTTTTTCCTTATAATTTGTGATTGATTTTAGCTCTTGTATTCTTATATGATGATCTGGTCTGTTCAGGAATTATGTGATCAAATTTATATATTTAGTGGTGTTTTCCACTTGGTAATGGTTCTTATTTACTAGAAATAGAATATAAGACTTTTACAAATTGTTTTATTTCAGCAATAGTTCTGTTGACAAAGAGTCAAACTCTGTAAAATATTTGAAGGGATTTATTCTGAGCCAAATATGAGTGACTATGGCCCATGACACAGCCCTCAGACCCTGACGACATGTGTTCAGAGTAGTCAGGGTGCAGCTTGGTTTTATACATTTTAAGAAGACATGAGACATCAATCAAACACATTTAAGATATACATTGGTTTGGTCCAAAAAGGGGTGAGGGTTGAAAGAGTTATTATCAATTGAAAGGAATGTCTGGGTTAGGATAAGAGGTTGTAGTTACCAAAGTTTGATCATGTAGATGAAGCCTCCAGGTAGCAGGCTTCACAGAGAATAGATTGTAAATGTTTCTTATCAGACTTAAGGCCTCTGTTGGTATTAAATGTTGATTGGCTTTTCCTGATTTCCAAAAGAGAGGAGGCATAATGAGGCATGTCTGACCCCCATTTCCCGTCACGGGCTGAACCAGTCTTTCAGGTTAACTTTGGAGTGCCCTGGTCAAGAGGAGGGAATCTATTCAGATAGGCCCTGCCTATTGAGCAGGGCCTTAGAATTTTATTTTGAGTTTACAGTTCTTATTAAATTATTATTTTGGAAACCTTATTTCATAAGTGAAAAATCAAACCAGATAACTCTCTGAGCCAGTGACTCTGTTTTGACTCTTAGTTCTACTCCCTGTGCATGTTCCAGACTTGCTAATTTATTGACTTCCCGATTTCTTTGCCTTCTCTGGGCAAGCCCATCTTTCCTGGGGCGTTATGGTATGGGCTGGGACAGCAGACCCTTATAAACAACACTAGGGGAGTGAGAGTTCATCTTTTCCCAGCCCATGATTTCTTCCAGCCAATGATATCTATCAGGCACCACAGTATAATATGGAGCCTCATGACTTATTACTAGCACTGACTGGATCATTGGGAGGATCAGTTGGTCATTAGTTGGTCATTAGTACCCAGGAGTTGGTCATTAGTACCCAGAAGCTCTCTTGAACAAATGGGCACAAGATCTTACTGTATATGTATATATTTTAGATTTTTCCCCCTAAGGTTCTCATTCTCTGTCAGTGCCACAAATCTCTCCTACGTACTCCCTAGACCGTTCTGAAAGGTGGAACTAATTACACTAGTAAGCCCTCCAGTTTTCTTCAGTCTCTTGCAATTTTTCTCATTATAATGACAATAGTAAGGCTCCTACTCCGTATTAAAATGGAATATGCACAGTTAAGCTTAAATTGAACTTTCTCCTCCGTCAGGTTAAACTTCCAGCTGTGTTCTTGGCTAACTTTACCTTTTTGTGATCACTTTAATGTGAGCATATCACAATTTTCTTTTCATTTGGTCTATTTCTTACAATGTCTTAGTGAGCTTTATACAAGTACAGAGAGGAGTGTAGAGTTCCTGGCCAGGCGTAGTGGCTCACGCTTATAATCCCAGCACTTTGGGAGGTCGAGGTGGGTGGATCATTTGAGGCCAGGAGTTCAAGAGCAGCCTGGCCAACATGGTGAAACCCTGTTTCTACTGAAAATACAAAAATGTAGCTGGACGTGGTGGCACATACCTGTAATTCCAGCTACTTGGGGGGCTGAGGCACAAGAATTGCTTGAACCCGGGAGGTGGAGGTAGCAGTGAGCCGAGATGGCGCCACTGCACTATAGTCTAGGCCACAGAATGAGACTCTGTCTCAAAAAAAAAAAAAAAAGAAAAAGAAAAAAGAGTATAGAGTTCCCCTCTGATCAGTAATTTCCATTCAACATTGTGATCATGTCATTATATGTGGATTAGTGACACTTAAACAGTGCTTTAATGTAATTTGTCTAATTGGAATTTTTTTCCTCCCAGATTATGAGCAGAGGACAAAAATAAAACGATAATGGTTTTACCTTTCTGTTCAAAATATCTGGAAGAGATACAGTTTTTAAACACATAGTGTGAAAAAGATGTGTTTTAATTGTAATGCCCAGCCAGGCACTGTGGCTCACACCTGTAATCCCAGCACTTTGGGAGGCTGAGGCGGGTGGATCACAAGGTCAGGAGTTTGAGACCAGCCTGGCGAACATGGTGAAATCTCATCTCTACTAAAGATACAGAAAATTAGCTGGGTGTGGTGGTGCACACCTGTAATCCCAGCTACTGGCGTGGCTGAGGCAGGAGAATCGCTTGAACCTGGGAAGCAGAGGTTGCAGTAAGCTGAGATTGTGCCATTGCACTCCAGCCTGGGCAACAAGGCGAGACTCCATCTCAAAAAAAAAAAAAAAAAAAAAAAAAAAAGTAATGTCTTACAGGTTCTTCCTGCCTGCTACACAGGCAAAACAGTGCATTGAGACCATGGTATCGCATTAAAGAGTTTAATTAATGCAAGGCCAGCCACGCAGGAGAACTGGAGTTATCACTCAAATCAGTCTCCCCGAAGGCTCAGAGATTAGGGTTTTTCAAAGATAGTTTGATGGACAAGGGGCTAGAGAATGGGTTGATTGGTTGGAGATGAAATCATAGGGATGTGGAAAACAGTCCTCATGTGCTGAGTCAGCTTCTGGTTGGGAGCCACAGGACCAGCTGAGTTACAAGTCACTGGTCTTGGTGATGTCAGCTGGTTGTCAGAAATGCAAAAGTCCGAAAAACGTTTCAGAAGGCCAATCTTAGGTTCAATAGTGATGTTATCTACAGGAGTAGTTGGGGAAGTTACAAATCTTATAACTTCCAAAACGATGGCTGGTTATCCTTTAATTACACATACGTGTTAGCCAAATTCAGGCCCCTCTGATAATCCCAACCTTGTGACCTTTCATTAGTTTTACAAAGGTGGTTTAGTTTTGGGAAAGGTTATTATCATCCTTGCTTTAAAATTAAACTGTAAGCTAAATTTCTCCCAAAGTTAGCTTGGCCGATGCCCAGGAATGACCAAGGACAGCTTGGAGGTTAGAAGTAAGGTGGAGTCTGGCCAGGCGTGGTGGCTCACTCCTGTAATCCTAGCACTTTGGGAGGCTGAGGGGGGGCGAGTCACCTGATGTCAGGAGTTCAAGACCAGCCTGGCCAACATGATGAAACCCCATCTCTACTAAAAAATACAAAAATTAGCCGGGCATAATGGCAGGTGCCTGGAATCCCAGCTACTTGGGAGGCTGAGATGGGAGAATTGCTTGAACCCGGGAGATGGTGGTTGCAGTGAGCTGAGATTGCGCCACTACACTCTAGCCTGGGTGGCTGAGACTGCATCTCAAAAAAAAAAAAAAAAAAAAAAAAAAATGTGGAGTCAACTATGTCAGATTTGTCCTACTGTAATAATTTTGCAAAGGCAGTTTCATAATCATAGGTGATTGATAATAGTGAAGCCTGATATGTTCACATTTGCCTTGAGTTAAGGTATCTGAAGTAGTACGTGTTGGAATAAAATAGAAGTGAACATGGCTTATATTCACATCCTTTATCATATCATACAGGAGATTCAATAAGTGTAATTGGCAGAAACAATAGCAACAACTTTGACCTGAACCGAAATTTCCCAGACCAGTTTGTTCAGATCACAGATCCTACGCAACCAGAAACTATTGCTGTAATGAGCTGGATGAAGTCCTATCCATTTGTACTTTCAGCAAACCTGCATGGAGGTATGGCAACTTTATATTCTACTAATTAGTTCTTGTTGAGAGCATTTGGAAATCCTGGTGGAATTTTATCTGTTTGTAGTGTTATGCTTTCTTAAAATGAGTATCGTGTTACTGCTTTTATGGCAGACAACAGTAAAGGTCTTTTCTCATTACTTTTTCAGCCAGTGTCCTGGCTGTTTCTTTCCTCCTGCTTTCTCTCATTTTTTTCCTCCTCTTCTCTTCTCCTTCTACCCCCATCTCTTCTCTCCACCCTTTCTCCTCTCCTTTCTCACCTACTACTTCTCTCTCTCCCTTCTCTTATCTCCTCTCCCCTTTCTTCTCTGTCTTGTCTTTTTTCTCCTCTCCTCCTCCCCCATCTCTCCCCCTACTCTGCTCTTCCTTCTCCTCTCCTCTTCCTCTCATAGTTCTTCAGGTATTTTATATTTATCTCTCACACTGGGAACTTGGTAACATATTCTTTGTCATTAATAAAAATTGATCCAAATGTTTAGTTCTGTTTTCTCCTTGAAGTTTAATAAATTCTTTCATGTAAATTTAGATTTTGATATTCTCTAATTTTCACTTGGTATGTCCTTAACTGCAGCAAAATGACCACATTCTCATGTAGTACCTGAGCTCATATACCTCCATATAATTTAGCAGGGATGGATCGGTTGAATAGAATGAGTGTCAAGATTAAAAATCACCACAACGTCCAACTAAGGTTGTGAATAAGAGTGAAGATATCAGTACCCAAGAGAACCAAAATGTGTCCACACGTAAACTCACTTGAACAAAATGTTCACTCATTTAATGTACAATGCTTATGTATATGAATGTTCAGTGTACACGAATGTTCATTCAGGATTATTCACAATAACAAAAAAGTAGAAACAACCCAAACAACCATCATCTGATAAATGGATAAATAAAATGTGGTCTGCCCTTACAATGAATATTATTTGTCTCGAAAAGGAATCAAGTGCTGATACATGCTATAACATAGATCCTTGAAACCTTATGCTAAGTGACAAAAGCCAGTCATAAGAGACCACATGGTGCATGATTATTATTTTTTTAAATCAAGTTAATGATTATATTTTTATGAAATTTTTATAGTAGGCATATCCATAGAGACAGAAAGTAGATTAAAGATTGCATTGGGCTGAAGTGAATAGTGGTAGGAGGTGATAGGGGAGTGACTGCTAGTGGATTTTGGGGTTTCTTTTTGGAGTTATGAAAATGTTCTATAACTAGATAGTGGTAGTGGTTGTACAACCCTGTGAATATAACCAACTTTAAATGGGTGAATTGCATGGTATTTGAATTACATCAGTAACACTGCTAAAAAACAAAAACAAAAACAAAACAGAGTAACAAGTATTAGCACCAGGGGCAATGGAGAAGAAATTGGGTTATCATGGGCCCTGGCCAAGAAACAGTGAATAACATAATTGGGACAATGCCAATAACACAGACAATTGCAAGTTTTCTTTTTTTCTTTTTTTTTTTCAGTTCTTTTTTTTTTTTTTAAATTTATTTATTATTATTAAACTTCAAGTTGTAGGTGCATGTGCCCAGCGATGCAGGTTTGCCCTATGTATACTTGTGCCATGTTGGTGTGTTGCACCCATCAACTCGTCATTTACATCAGGTATAACTCCCAATATGCAAATCAAAACCACAATGAGATGCCATCTCACGCCAGTTGAATGGTGATCATTAAAGTCAGGAAACAACAGATGCTGGAGAGCATATGGAGAAATAGGAACACTTTTACACTGTTGGTGGGAGTGTCAATTAGTTCAACCATTGTGGAAGACAATGTGGCGATTCCTCAAGGATCTAGGACTAGAAATACCATTTGATCCAGCAATCCCATTACTGGTTATATATCCAAAGGATTATAAATCATTCTACTATAAAGACAAATGCACACGTATGTTTATTGGGGCACTATTTGCGATAGCAAAGACTTGGAACCAACCCAAATGTCCATTAATGATAGACTGGATAAAGAAAATATGGCACATATAGACCACAAAACACTATGCAGCCATAAAACAGAATATGAATTCATGTCCTTTGCAGGGACATGTATGAAGCTGGAAACCATCATTCTCAGCAAACTAACACAAGAACAGAAAACCAAACACCACTTATTCTCACTCATAAGTGGGAGTTGAACAATGAGAACATATGGACACAGAGAGGGGAACATCACACACCAGGGCCTGTTGGGGGGTGAGGGGCTAGGGGAGGGGTAGCATTAGGAGAAATACCTAATGTAGATAATGGTTTGATGAGTACAGAAAACTACCATGGAATGTGTATACATATGTAACAAACCTGCACATTCTGCACAGGTAACCTAGAACTTAAAGTATAATATAAGAAAAACTTTTTAACTAGGAATGACAGTATACTGATTCTGGCAAAGGTTCAGAGGAAATATTTATGGAAAAGATCAAACTCTCTTTTGCCAAAATATAAATGATGTCAACAACAGGAAAATAAAATTTAGGCAATAGTCAAAAAAATACAATATCTGAAGAAAAAATAGATAGCCTGCATTGCCCGAAATATATAAAAGATTAAGCTATAGTTAAAAATCTTCCTAGAGTGAAAAGTCCAGGCCAAGATTCCTACACTGGTGAGTTCTACCAAATATTTTAGAAAAAAAAAAGAGATATAATTTTAAACAAACTCTACTCCTAAAATTAAAAGTTATGATATAGTTTGGATGTGTGTCCCCACCAAAACCTCCCATTGAAATGTAATCCCCAATGTTGGAAGTAAAGCTTCGTGAGAGGTGAATGCATCATGAGGGAAGATTTCTCACAATTTAGTACCATGCCTTTGGTGCTGTACTCATAATAGTGATTCTCATGAAAATTGGTCATTTAAATGTGCATGGCACCTCCCACCTCTCTCTCTTGCTCCTGCTCCAGCCATATGATATGCTAGTTCTTCTTCAGGTTCCACTATAATTGTAAGCTTCCACAGGCCTCCCCAGAAGCAGAGCCCCATGTTATGCTTCCTGTACAACCTGTAGAACTGTGAGCCAATGAAACCTATTTCTTCATAAATTACCCAATCTCATGTATTTATCTATAGCAATGCACAAATAGCTTAATACAGAGTACATTTCAATTCAGTGTATAATGCTAGCATTACTCTAAATCAAAACCAGATGATATTGTTACAAACAAGAGAACTGCCTTATGAACATGCATGCAAAAATTCAACCAATTTGTGAAGTAACAATGATAACCTTAGAAAGATGAGTGTATAAACTGTGCTATAGTCATACAATGGAATATTACTAAGGACTAAAAAGAGATGAACTATCAAGTATGAAAAGACTTAAATGCATATTTCCAAAAATGACATTATCCAGAAACCAAAATTATGGATAGAGTAAAAAGATTAGTGGTTGCCAAAGGGTTGAGGAGCAAAGTTGTGTGTTGATACCCTGTGTTTTTTCAGCTTTCTGAACTTTTGGCTCATCTTTCTAATCTGAAAACAGAGCCACTTCTTCTATTTAAGTTTACTTTCACTTGCTTGAGACATGTTGTCACCCTGGAGGGTGTGACTTTAACATATACTGAGGAATGCAATTTGTTTCTGAGTGCTGCCAGGGGAGTCAGCCTCTGTATGATTCTTTTGGTTATATGTAAACTTAGTATGGTGGTTTTCCCAAATGCTAGTTCTCATGGCAGCATACTGGGCATGTGAGAAAGTCCTTGATTTGCTGCAGAAATGAGAAAGTGGAGGTCTCAAGAAGCCTATATCATTTTCCTATCCGCACTTGAGTCAGCAAATTTTGTAATGGGGTGTGCAGTGCAACCTCCCAGCCAACAAATGGTGACCGCAGGTTAGAATATACTGTGGCAGAAGCGGGTAAGAATATGCTTTGTCATTGTCTTACTGGTAAGAACTCTTTGTTGCCTCAGGTTATCGACAGGTCTGTGTAATGCCCAGTGCCCTGAATTCTGTACTCAGCTCCAGAAAGAAAGATGAAGCTGAACAAAAGTACACTGACAAGCCGGACTGGACTGACAAAACTAGCCTCAAGTTTGGATACCCTAATGAGGAGCACAAGCACCAGTCAAGACAAGGGTCTCAGGAAAAGCTCTTAGTGAATTGCAAAGAGGCTCCCAGAGGAAAGAGAAAACGCAGCATCAGTTCTATGTCCTGAGTGGTCATGAATGGCTCTGCTTCCTTATCAAAACCCTGACACAATGTAAGACTTATAAAAACACCTTGATTTTTTCCTTCAAAAAAGCAGGTCTCCTGTATTCCTCCCGCAAAAAACACTATGCACAGTAGTTGCAGCTTACCCAGATAAGTTTAGGTAAATATCAACCCTCATTTTCTTTTTTTTTTTTTTTTAATAAGAAGCAAGATCTTTTATTTTAAGTCTCTTTTCACGATCTCACCATTTGCTGTAAGTCTTCTTTCGAGATATTTTTTGCTTTAATGAACTCAGCATCATAATCTCTATACATGTATAATAAATACACTTCCATTCTTTATTATTACCCATTGATAACATGATTAATGTGCCTTTCTTTTTTATTTTTAATTAATTTATTATTATTAAACTTCAGTTGTAGGGTACATGTACTACAAGCGTGCAGGTTTGCTACATATGTAGTACTTGTGCCATGTTGGTGTGCTGCCCATCAATAGTCACATCAGGTATAACTCCCAATGCAATCCCTCCCCTCCCCACCCTCCCCGCCCAGTAGGCCCGGTGTGTGATGTTCCCCTTCCCGAGTCCAAGTGATCTCATTGTTCAGTTCCCACCTATGGTGAGAACATGCGGTGTTTGGTTTTCTGTTCTTGTGATAGTTTGCTAAGAATGATGGTTTCCAGCTGCATCCATGTCCCTAAAAAGGACACAAACTCATCCTTTTTATGGCTGCATAGTATTCCATGGTGTATATGTGCCACATTTTTCTTAATCCAATCTGTCACTGATGGACATTTGGGTTGATTCCAACTCTTTGCTATTGTGAATAGTGCTGCAATAAACATTCGTGTGCATGTGTCCTTATAGCAGCATAATTTATAATCCTTTGGGTATATACCCAGTAATGGGATAGCTGGGTCATATGGTACATCTAGTTCTGGATCCTTGAGGAATCGCCATACTGTTTTCCATAATGGTTGAACTAGTTTACAATCCCACCAATAGTGTAAAAGTGTTCCTATTTCTCCACATCCTCTCCAGCACCTGTTGTTTCCTGACTTTTGAATGATCGCCATTCTAACTGGTGTGAGATGGTATCTCATTGTGGTTTTTGATTTGCATTTCTCTGATGGCCAGTGGTAAGAGCATTTTTTCATGTGTCTGTTGGCTGTATGAATGTCTTCTTTTGAGAAATGTCTGTTCATATCCTTTGCCCACTTTTGGATGGGAACATTTTTGTTTTTCTGTAAGTTGTTTGAGTTCTTTGTAGGTTCTGGATATTAGCCCTTTCTCAGATGAGTAGATTGCAAAAATTTTCTCCCATTCTGTAGGTTTGCACCCTTTCCTCTGATGGTAGTTTCTTTTGCTGTGCAAGCTCTTAGTTTGATGAGATCCATTTGTGATTTGGCTTTTGTTGCCATTGCTTTTGGTGTTTAGACATGAAGTCTTTTGCCATACACCTATGCATCCTGAATGGTCTACCTGGTTTTCCTCTAGGATTTTTATGGTATTAGGTCTAACATTTAGTCTCTAATCCATCTTGAATTAATTACCGTCCCATAAGGGAGTAAGGAAAGGATCCAGTTTCAGCTTTTCTACCATATGTAGTATTAGTTTTTGCTTTCATTTATTAAAATAGGGAATCCTTTCCCCATTTCTTATTTTCTCTCTCAGGTTTGTCCAAAAGATCAGATGGCTGTAGATGTGTGGTATTATTTCTGAGGACTTTCTGTTCTGTTCATTGGTCTATATCTCTGTTTGGTACCAGTACCATGCTGTTTTGGTTACTGTAGCCTTGTAGTATAGTTTGAAGTCAGGTAGCGTGATGCCTGGCTTTGTTCTTTTTGACTTAGGATTTGTCTTGGAGATCAGGGGCTCTTTTTTGGTTCCATATGAACTTTAAAGCAGTTTTTTCCAATTCTGTGAAGAAGCTCATTGGTAGCTTGATGGGGATAGCATTGAATCTATAAATTACCTTGGGGCAGTATGGCCATTTTCATAATATTGATTCTTCCTATCCATGAGCATGGCATGTTCTTCCATTTGTTTGTGTCCTCTTTGATTTCACTGAGCAGTGGTTTGTAGTTCTCCTTGAAGAGGAGTCCTTTACATCCACTGTAAGTTGGATTTACCCATGACCATTTTATTCTCTTT